CGAACCCACTGTGGGTTTCCAAGACTCTAGCTGTTTATGGGAGTAGAATGCCCAGTCCTACACCTTCAGAGCTTCTGGTGGCTTCGAACTGCCGACCATGAGGTTCACAGCTCAAATAGCCAAAGTAAAACAAACCTACAAGCCTGGAAATAGGGAACTAGAAATATCAATTTGTTACAAAGACATTTACAAAGTAAAAAGAGCGAATGTTGTAGTTAAAGAACTTCTAAAAGAAGAGGAAGTCAAATAGATTTAATTTAGATAAAAAGGGGAAAGCAATATGCCACAAACAGGATGTTGACCAAAAAAAAAAAATCACTGAAAAAAGGGAAAACACTGCAGGAAGTGCTAGAGTCAAAAGTCTAAGTGTTAAATATTATTATATATGCTATCCTGTAATAATGATCTCTGAGTAGATGCCTAAATAGGTACGCTGGCATAATGGGTGTGGGAAGGAGAGTGAAAATATACAAGTACATGTATGTGCATTTGTGTGTGTGTTTGATAAAGTACAAGGATATTTACCTTTGCTGCAAACATATCTATGAATATTTGTACAAGAATATTTAACTTTTCTGCAAACATATCAATGAATGTGGTGGAATATACAGGGGGGAAATTATGAAAATGTCGTAGGCATAATCAAACAGCATAAGAAAATGAATCCTTGCATTTGGGGCTCAGGACCTCAGTTCTAGGGGATCCCATGCATAGCATACTCAATAAAGACAATATTTTACATATTTCTTTGGTAAGTAATAACTAGAGTCTTAAAGATGAGCCGCTATCTAAGGTGGAACTATTGGTCTCTTCCTGTGCAGGAGAAAGAAGAGTGCTGAAAACGAAAGGCACATTGAGAATCAGCCTTGTGGAATAATGAGCCATGCAAACATCAGTCTCCATCTCCCTGAGACCAGAAGGACTAGGTGGTTCCTGGCTACTACTATCCACTACTCTGAAAGGCATTACATTAGAAAGACCTGGATAGTATGGAAGAAAGATGTGGAACAAAACTCAAAATTAAAAAAAATAAAAAGAAGGACCAGGCTTACTGGTCTGATAGTTACTGGTGGGCTCTCCCCTACTACCCCCACCTAGACTATGGCTCTTAGTCACCCTTTAGGTCTGTAATTAAAGTCACTCCCATGACTCAAGTTTCAGTGCAGTGTATAAGGAGAACAATAAGAAAAAGGGGGGAGTGCACAGCTGAGGATAACCAGCCATTTGTGATCAAAAGGGCAGCATTTACCTAAGGATAATTTTAATAGGGCTAGGAGGAAATATACTAAGGAAGGAGGGTGAATGATATTATATTGAGGGGGATGTAATCAATGAGATGCAACAAATTGTCTGTGAATTATTGAATGTAAAACTGATTATCTGCTCTGTGAACCTTCACTCAATTAACAATAATTTAAAAAAATAATAAAATAAAAAGAAGGAAACAGAGGAAAGATCAGGGAGGCAAAGAACATTTATAGATTTATAAATACATACATATACATATGTAAATACATTTATATGTAACAATACTGACATAGATCTATACAGCAGACAGACATTGGGCCTCTATTCAAGAACTCCCTCAACACAAGAACACTTTGTTCTAATAACCTTTCATCCTGTGATGCTCACCTTCCCAACATGATCACTGAAGGCAAAATTGGTGCATAAGCAAATGTGATGAAGAAAGCTGATGGTGCTCGGTTATTAAAATATATAGCACCTGGGTTCTTAAAGTCTTGAAGACAAACAAGCTGGGAAGCAACAAAGCCCACATGGAAGTAGCACACAAGCCTGTGTGATCATGAGGCGTCATCACGAATAGGTATCAGGCATCAGGAGACCCCAAAACAAGCAATCATATCTATGTGAACGATAGGGGACGGGAAGCAGAGTGGAGACTCAAAAGACCATCTATAGACAATTGGGCATCTCTTCACAGAAGGGTCACAAGGAAAGGACGAGGCATCCAGGGTAAAGTTTAGCACCGACAAAACATACCACATTCCTTAATTCTTTAATGCTTCCTCCCACACACACTGTCATAACTCCAGCTTTACCGTACAAATCTGGCTAGACCAGAGCATGTACACTAGTACAGATAAGAGGTGGAAACACATGGAATCCAGAACAGAAAACCACCCCCTGCCAGGTACAATAATGGGATTAGCGATGCCATGAGGGTAGGGGGACAGTGCAGGGAGAAAGGGGGAACCGATCTCAATGATCAACATATTACCACCCCCACCCCCCAGGGTGACAAACAACAGAAACATGGGTGAAAGGAGAGAGCAGAAGGTGTAAGATATGAAATACTAATAATTTATAATTTCACAAGGTTTCATGAGGGAGAAATCATGGGGGAGGAGGAAAAAATGAGGAGCTGTTCCAAGTAGAAAGAAAATGTTTTGAAAAGGATAATGGCAACATATGTACAAATATGCTTGACACAATGGATATATGGATTGATATAAAAGCTGTAAGAGCCCCCAATAAAATGATTAAAAATAAACTAAAAAGGAGCTGAAAACCCACTAGTAACCTGCTGCAAGTTATTTCTTTTAATGTCATATCACAAGTGCTCAATGTCCAAGGAAATTTAATAAATTTTAATAAGTCAAATTGCATAAGGCATATGATAGATTCAAAATTATGAGGACAATGTAGAGTGCAATGTAAAGGGTTTAGAATCAAGATGACCTGATTTTTCCTCTTTAATAGTTGATTTGCAAGCTATTCAGACTCTTGGCAGCTCAATTCCTTTTGCTGTGAAATGGAAATTATATTATCTACCTCATAGGATTGTTATAAATATCAGGTGAAAGAATGTTTGTAAACCCTATATCACAGATCTCCACACTCAGTGCATGTTTACTTTCTGTCCATTTTCTTGGAGAAATAAAACAAACATATCAGATGATATAAATTTTACTAGAACTAGAACTGCAATGCTATCTCAAGGTTTTGCAAATCTCAAGGTTTACATTTACAAATATAAAGTTATGCAAGAGAAGTGAATTTTTTACCCTGATATTTTCAAAATCATTCCCCTACCCTATTTTGGTTCAGTTCACTTTCATGTAATTCATTTAAGACCAAGTTTGCTCCTTTTTAGATGGTAAGTGCTCAGTATCTAAGGAAAGAGGCAAACTTGTCAATGGCAATCAAGGTGAAAAGTGTGCTGAAGTACAAAGTAGGAAATGATTCTCCTCTCTCTAGGATGTCTAGGCCAGGAGAGAGCATCTGAGCTCAATATGACTGAAAGAAATGTCTACAAGGCAGATGGGGATGGTAGAATAAGGCATCAAGGAGTTGATTAGAATGGGCACAGAGCAAGTAAGCACCAATTAGTTGTTCTTAAGGAGAAGGTACTTAAACATGAGCGCAGTACAAAAGACAAAGGGATTTGAAGATGGACCAGGGAAACAAGGCAAAGACCTCAGCATGAAAGATCTTGCATGCTACACTGAATCCTTCAGGGAGAGGGAGCTACTGAAGACTTGGATTTGATGTTAGATGGTGTATGGTTGTACAGTTTTTTAAATTTTGAACAAGGACAAAAAAGTAGTGAATAGGGTAATTGTTTCTACAGATTATGAATGAAAAGGGAAACTTCTGGTTTTAGGTGGGACAAAGTTGATTATGTCTAAAGAAAAGATCAGCAGGAAAGAAGATGGGGAAAATATAGAAGAAAATATAAAAACATGGAAGAAAAGAGGGATAACAGCATGGGTCTGCTCAGGACAATAGAAGACTCACAATGCCAATGGGAGAAACTAGCCTTGGAAATCCGTTCTCTCCCAGTGACCATGGAAAGCAGGTGATGAAGAAGGTCCCAAATGGGAAGAGGCGGAGCAGAGTTGGGTATAAGGCATTGCCCCTCATGAGCAACCCCTACTCACATTGTCAGCAAAGCTATCTGATGAAGGGGAGAAGATGCCAAGCCATAGGAGGTTTTTAAAACAACTGGAAATAGGAAATGATCACCTAGGAAAGGGACGTATTTTTTTTCCGAAGGCACAAATTGAGACGTGAGCCTGTAAGTCTATGGTGGAAACGATTTCCTTCTCATATCACCTCCATCACTGTGATTTAAAAGTGAGACTGGCCCCAGTGAGAGACTTCATGGGAACTTTGATAAAGACAGGGGCCTGTGAAGCTAAGGTGCTAATATAAGGGCATATGGAAAGTTGACAGGGGTCCAGCACTGCTGTTGGAGGGCAGGCAGGACTAAACAAAACACTGAACAAGAGAGAATGAGGCCTAGAGAGCCTGAATGAGATACTTTGGATCCCATGCAATCAGAAAATCAAATCTGTTCCTGCATCCCGGAGAAGCCACCCAAACTTACTTTAGGTGCATCAGTCAGCTCTGTGACTGGCGTCTGCAGGAAGAAGGTTGACACGATGAGGTAGATTTCAGCAACATAAATATGGTGTGTTAAAAAGTCACTCAACACTTGGAATCCAGGCAGCAGGCAGGGTTTCTGCTCGGGTGTGGTAGGGGGAATCTTCAGGTTGTCTGTTGATGAGGGGCAAGGATCCAAAATACAATGAGTTAGACCAACTGCTGTTGCTATGGGCAAGATGGAGACTGGACACATGAGATGATCCCTTAGAAACACTGGGGAGAAATATTGCCACACAGGATGAGAACAAAACATTTTATAATAATTATAATTTCCTGTTTCCTACATGTTCATTCATTCATTCAAGAACAGATACTGCTTTGGGATTGCATAATACACA